ACCATTAGGCAAGCTGGGGTCACACAAGACCAAATCAGGGAGATTCTCTTTCCTTTCTCTTTAAGTGGAAAAGCCAAATTATGGTTTAACGGATTAAATAGAACTGCACTTGGTATAACTGACTGGGAAACTCTTGTTTTAAATTTCTATAATAAATATTATCCTGCAGAGAGAACAACTGTACTAAGGAGTAAGCCGATGAAACTCTATATGAGTTGATAGGCCACCGTCGAGCTTACCATAGATAAAGTCCTATTTTTGTCTCACTAACTAATAGCAAGGGTAAGAAAGGGTCGAACCCAAGAGAGGCGTTGAATCAACCACCGAGATACTACCGTTTAAACAAGCTAAATGCAGTCAAAATTGGTTTGGTTTTATGTAGCATGTACTAATTTAAAGCAACTAATACTAAGGGATGATTAACAATAATTAGAGAGTTCTAGGGCTTGGGATATACCACTCAAATTCGTCACAAATCACAAATGGCCTTTATCTTCACTTTTCTTTTGTTTTGCTCTATTTTTTCGGCTTCTAACATCGGTTTTCATCCAAATGCCTCAAATGGTCATCTTTGAACCTAAAAACTCAACAAAAACACTAACAACCCGTGAAGCAAGGGATACACAAAATTTGAACAAAAATAGAGTAAAAGTGAACCAAAATGCCAATATACCAAGTAAACAAGGTTTGAAATCACTCTAAAATCGTATCAAATAACAAGTTATCAAATCCCCCAAGCTAAGCTTTTGCTAGTCCTCGAGCAAAACAAACATGTAAAATTAAGAAGGAAGATTACTTGCTAATGATCAAACCAAGGAGAGATACTTAAAGAGAAAACACAAACACAAATCTGCATGGCAAGAACCATAAACACTTTTAGCACAAGTGAAAAGCAATTTAAACCCCTAAGTTGCCTAAGAGGACGAGTTTTTATCTCGTGAGGGTTTCCCTTGAGCTTAACCCACAACTCACACAAACCATGCCAAAATTGTCATAACATATCATCATCATCAAGGTGATCAATACAAACCAAACCAATGTTTTTATTTCCCTCATCAACGCATCGGGATATAAATCACAAGCAAGACAAGTGAGTGACTTTCAAGAATTACCGATCATACAAATGTGTACATGAGTTGGGGGTAGAGATGAGAATTAAGCAAGGTTGCACTAGGATACTTCCTTATACCTTTCACTAGTTCATTAGAACACGTCTAGATATTCCAAAGTTACAAAAAGCCCTCTTTCGGTTATAAAATCTCAAAATGCAAGTCCACCTCCAAAAATTCACTCCCAAGCCCCTTCAACTACACTCTAACTCGGGAATTTACACAAGAAACACTAAAGTAGATAATGTGTGGGAGGCATCCACAAATTAACCTCTAAATTAGAAAAAGAAAAATTTTGTGAATTTTCGGAGGAGTTTTTGATCTCCTTTTCTTTTTCTATATTTTTTCTTTGTTTTTTTTTTCAACATTCATTGCCCTCGCCTCTTTTAACTGTGAGCGGCTCATTCTTTTATTCGAAACATGTGGCTTATTATGCCACTTATTACACAAGATACACATAGAACCAATTCCCTAGTAGAGTTTCATTTTGGGGAGGAGGGGAGCCACATCAAGGGCACAAGGGACCACAATTTGATTCAAACATATCCTACTTTGGGCAAATTTGACAATATCCTATGCTAGACGTGCAATTGAGCATTCATCGGTTTTCATTTCATATGCTCTAATGCAATCAAGATTAATAAGCCTCTAATTGACCCTAACTCTTGCACACACCCTTCTAAAAGAACTTTTACTCATCACTCAAGAATCGAGCAAGAAAATCATATAAGCATCGTCATTTAATTCTCATCCAAGGGCTATTTTTTCTTTTTTTTTTCTTTTTTTTAAGCAATAGAAAATGAATAATTACAAATTTGAGTTAGACTAAGCTAAGCATGACTAGACATCTTAATAAAGAGAGAGGGGAGAAGTATTCACAAATTAAGAGTTTTTTATTTAGGGTGTTTGATTTCAAAGGGAGCAAATTTGGATGTTTAGGGGTTTGTATGTTACGGAAAGGGAACAAACAACATGCAAGGTTGATAACAAAACAAGAACATACAAGAACCAACATATGAACCAAAGAGAAAGATTCCCCCCTCCCCCAAGCTATCATAAACATTGCCCCCAATGTTAAAACAATTAAAGCACATGAAAGGGGAGGAAAAGAACTAACTCATTGGCTCGGGCCTCCTTGGGAGATTGAGCCCCCGGGGTACCAATGCCGGTAGACATTCCGAAATTCACCCAATTTCGACCGAAGACCTTCGAAGCTTGTCCTCATGTTGTCGTAGGAGGATCTCATGTCTTTGTGAGAGTTTCTCATAGTCTCGAACTCGGTCAACATGCGATTGAACCCGGCATTTATCAATTGCATTTGTTGCTCGAAGGAAACGGTGGGTTACCCTCACCCATGCCTTGACCTTGGTACCCTTGTTGGTGCTCATATTGTTGTTGTTGTTGGAATTATTGTTGGAAATGTTGTTGTTGCGGTTGTTGTTGTTGTGGTTGTTCTTGTTCTTGTTCTTGCTCTTGCTCATGCTCTTCTTCATCATCACCGGGAATCAAAGGGTGGTCCCTCTCGAAGACCCAATTGCTCTTGTCGTAGATGAAGGTCCGCTCTGGATCGGGGAGGTAGGCATAGGGGCGGCCACTCACGTGCCACAAGTAAGGCTATGGCCCTTACGCGTCCGCAACCCATCACATGGTCCTAAGCGATTCCATGTCTAGCTGCGTCGGCCCTGGGCAAACTTGCTCATCTGTAAAATTAAGGTTAAGAGCAGAAGCAATAATAGGGATCATGCCACCTATGGTGATGTTGCCGGACCCAGTGGCAACATCCTCTAGGTGGTCGACTAACCAGACCCCTACATCTAGGGTCGTACTACCCTCGCTCAAGTGTCATAGGAAGTGAAGCTCCCTAGTGGACACTACAGCCAAACTATCACCTCTAGCGAACGTCGTGTTCACTATGGTGCGATGTGACATCCTAAAGGCGGGGTGGATTATGGCCGTAGCTTTATCAGTCCTAGGATTGTAGTCGAAAAGGCCGGTGATCTTCCTCCAAAACTCACCCGCACAATAGTTACGGGGGGGCCTATCCTTTGGTCCTATGGTGCCGTTAATTGGCCACCCAAAAGCTTGATTCACCCTCCTTATGTTCAAGTTGTGTTGGGTGTTCATGAGTTGGAAGGTAAGGCAGCGGGGGGATCTCTTGTTGTCTCGTTGCACTTGAAGGGTGGGAGGAATTCAAGTGTCAACCTTTTGTAGGTCGGGGCGCTTAAATCTAGCCCATTTCCTAGGCCACAACCCTCAAAAAGCATCCTAACATCGTCCCCTACCCCTAAAGCCTCGGAAACACTCTCGTCATAAAACTTGGTAGATCGAACTCTCCTTCTACTTATTCTTATATAGTTGTTCAAAAAGGTTGGGTCATTGAACACGATTCCCATAGTGTCCACTTGTGGTGGATCAACGAGAGGAGGAGGAGAGGGGTTTGCGGTACCTAGCATCCGTGTTTCTAGGTCGATTTCTTCTAGACATGGTAGGTCTTAATGCAATGCAATCAAACAAACCAAGACAAAATAATCACCTCGAACCACACAAAGAGACTAAGTCCACAAGTGGACCAACCAAAGCTCAAGCAAGGCCAACAAACACAACACAATCAAGTCAAGTTCTAAGTCTCCCACCTAAAACAAGACAAGCAAATCACTAAACAACAAAGGCCACTTCAATAATGCATCCACAAAAATTCTACATCAATTTCATGCACTTATTATCAAACAAACCAACACAATAATTTACCTAAACAAGCATGTTCTTCCTTTACCAAAATCAATTCCTTAATTTCATACTTGCAAAAATTTCGATTCTCAAAACACACCAAAATTCATTCAAACTCAATAATTCTTGACAATTATCAACTATCTATCACTCACAACCAATTCAAACAAACTTTCTCAAGCAATTTCATGCAAAAATTCAAGGATTTAAACATGAAATTCGTGAAAGGGAGGAACGATTATACCGAGCTTATCGTGGGTGTAAAACCTGCAAATGAACCTTTCTAACCCTCCTTTTGCTTGCTTAAACTTGCTCCTTCATCCAATTGCTTCAAATTTCAATCCCAAAGAAAACCCCCAAATTGATTTTTCAAGGTTAGGGTTTGAGTATTTTGGGTGATTTTTGGGTTTGAATGTGAGAAAAGGAGTAGTAGTTTGTGAATTTGTTGAAAGGAGTGAAGACTTTGGAGAAGTTTGTTGAATTTTGGTAAGAAGTTGGGTGTTTGAGGGGATTTGAGTGGGTATGGAGGAGGAGGAAAGAAGTTTTAGAGAGAGAGAGGAGTGATTGTTGTGGAGTGAGAATGTGAGAATATGAGAAACAAAATTATTTTAAAACCGTGCTGCTGACTGCTGAAACTGGGGTGGCACGGATGTGCAACATTTGGCACGGACGTGCAGCCTTAGAAAGAAACTTAGATAGCTTACTGACGTATTTGGCACGGACGTGCAGGAATTAGCACGGACGTGCTTAATTTGGCACATCCATGCCAATCTGGAGAAATTTACTTTAAACTTCCTGATTGCTTCTGACTGCCTCTGCACGGACGTGCGGTGTTCTGCACGTCCGTGCAGACCTGTTGCTTAACGGATTTCACACCATTTTTTTTTATTTTTTTTTGGATAATAATAGTAAGGCATAATAATAATAATATTATTATCATTACAAATATTATTATCATTATAATTACCTACTACTTCACTTCCACAAAAACCTTTTCTTACTTCTCTTTTCTTCAACACCTACAAAAGATATTGAGAGAAAAGTTAGTAATAGTAAGAGTGATGGAAATACAATAATAGTGTTTTAAGAAAGAGAGAGTTGAGAAACTCGGGTTGCCTCCCGGAAGTGCTCTTTTAACGTCACTAGCTTGACGACATTGCGGGATCAATGAGAGTAAGGAACATCAAACTCATCAAGGTGAACAACCTTGGCTTCCTTATGTACAAAACCGTCAAAGTATGCCTTAAGCCTTTGGCTATTCACTTTGAACGATTCACCATTGTCATTTGAAATCTCAATTGCTCCGTATGGAAACACCTTCTTAACGGTGAAAGGCCCACTCAATCTTGACTTGAGCTTACCCGGAAACAACTTCGTCTGGGAATTGAATAGTAGGACCTTGTCACCTTCTTTAAACTCCCTTTTGCTAATATTATCGTCATGCCAAGCCTTGGTCTTTTCTTTGTAGATCCTTGCACTCTCATATGCATCCATTCTCAATTCTTCCAAGGCGCGGAGGTCAAGCAACCTATTCTCACCAGCGCTTTGAAGGTCGAAATTCAATGTTTTGATAGCCCAATGAGCTCGGTGCTCAAGTTCTACCGGCAAGTGGCATGACTTCCCATAAACAAGCTTGTATGGTGTGGTGCGAATAGGAGTTTTGAACGCGTTGCGATAGGCCCATAAAGCATCATCAATCTTTGTAGACCAATCTTTTTTAGACCTATCCACCGTTTTCTCAAGAATCATTTTTACCTCCCGGTTTTAAATTTCAGCTTGACCACTTGTTTGTAGGTGGTAAGCTAATGACACCTTGTGCCTCACACCATATTCCTCAAGGAGAGCTAGAAAGGATCGCTTTGCAAAGTGTGAACCTCCATCACTAATCACAGCCAGGGGCACTCCAAACCTTGGGAAAATTACTCTTTTGAAGAGCTTGACCACTACCTTAGCATCATTAGTAGGAGATGCAACCGCTTCCACCCACTTTGACACTTATTCGACGGCCACTAGAATGAAATTGTTCCCAAAAGAGCTCGGGAAAGGCCCCATGAAATCGATGCCCCATACATAAAATATTTTAAGTTCAAGGATGTTGTTCAAAGGCATTTCATTACTTTTTGAAATATTACCGGTTCTTTTACACCGGTCACAAGCTTTCACTACACCCCACACATCTTTAAACATTGTTGGCCAAAAGAATCCGCATTGCAATATTTTTGTCAAGGTCTTGTTGGCACTCATATGTCCTCCACAAGGTGAGGAGTGACACATTGTGATAAAATCTTCAATTTCATTATCCGGGACACACCTTCTAAAAAGGCCATTAACACCTTGTTTGAAAAGCAAGGGGTCGTCCCAAAAGTATTGGCGAACATCATGAAGAAACTTCCTTTTTTGTTGATAGAAAAGGTCAGGAGGAAGAATAGAGCAAGACAAGTAGTTTGCAATTTTCGCAAACCATGGTGTCGGTTCTTGGAGAATAGCAAATAGTTGATCATCCGGGAATGAATCATCGATTGGCAAGTTATCAAGATACCCTACAAAATAGGCAACCGTGAAAGATGATCGGCCACCACATTTTCGACACCCTTCTGGTCCCTAATCTCAATGTCATAGTCTTGTAAGAGCAAGACCCACCGTATCAATCTTGGCTTTGGTTCCTTCTTGGACAAGAGGTACTTCAAGGCCAAATGCTCGGTGAAGACTATGACTTTAGACCCCAACAAGTATGACCTAAACTTCTCAATTGCATGAACAATGGCTAGAAACTCCTTTTCCGTGGTTATGTAATTCCTTTGTGCATCATCCAAAGTTTTGCTAGTGTAGTAGATAGCATGGAGCTTCTTATCCTTCCTTTGTCCAATAACGGACCCAATGGAAAAATCCGAAGCATCACACATAAGCTCAAAAGGGAGCTCCCAATTAGGGGGTTGAATGACAGGAGCTGAAATCAATGTCTCCTTTAACCTATCAAATGCTAGCAAACAATCATTAGTAAAAACAAAAGGGGCATCCTTTACCAACAATTGAGTGAGCGGCTTTGCGATTTTTGAAAAATCCTTTATGAACCGGCGGTAAAAACCCGCATGTCCAAGAAAGCTCCTTATCCCCTTCACATTTGTAGGGGGTGGCCTGAATGACCCCAATTTTGGCACGATCTACTTCAATGCCCCTACTAGAAATTTCATGACCAAGAACAATTCCTTCTTCTACCATGAAATGACATTTTTCCTAATTCAAGACCAAGTTCACCTCTTGACATCTTTTCAACACTTTAATCAAATTTGAAAGGAAAATGTCAAAAGATGAACCAAAAATAGAAAAGTCATCCATGAATACTTCAATTGATGATTCAATCATGTCGGAAAAAATAGACGTCATACACCTTTGAAATGTGGAAAGTGCATTACAAAGTCCAAATGGAATCCTTCGATAAGAAAATGTGCCAAAAGGACATGTGAATGTAGTCTTTTCTTGATCCTTGGGTTGGATTAAGATTTGAAAGAATCCCGAGTATCCATCCAAGAAAAAATAGTGACTATATGATGCTAGTCTTTCCAATATTTGATCGATGAAGGGGAGTGGGAAGTGGTCTTTGCGGGTGGACTTATTCAATTTTCTATAATCAATACACATCCTCCACCCGGTGACCAACCTCGTAGAAATGGTCTCACCCTTATCATTCTTGATGATGGTCATGCCTCCTTTTTTAGGCACAACTTGAACCAGGCTAACCCACTTACTATCGGAGATAGGGTAGATTATGCCCGCTTCAAGAAGTTTTAAAACTTCTTTTTTCACAACTTCCTTCATGTTTGGATTGAGCCTTCTTTGGTGCTCAATCGAGGAAGCATGATCATCATCAAGTAAAATCTTATGCATGCATATAGTAGGACTTATCCCCTTAATGTCATCAAATTTGTACCCAATGACACCTCTATACTCCCTTAAAACAACTAGGAGTTTCCCAGGAGAGGTATCATCAAGCTTAGCATTGACAATAACGGGATAACTCTCACTATCATCAAGAAAAGCATATTTAAGTAAAGGAGGAAGGGGTTTAAGTTCAACCTTGTGAGCAGGCGTAGTTCTTTCCTCTTTTACCTCAACATTAAGCACTTCCACTTTCTTTTCATTGTGGACTAAATGTTGGTTAAGCAAAAGATCATATCCCCTTGTTTCTTCACCTTCCTCAACTAAGCCTCCCGTTATATAGCTTGTAACGGATATCCTTCAAACAAATTCTCTTGGAACTTCTCTAAGTCGCTTTCCAATGTATCAACTCTATGAACTTCATCATACAATGGCTTTTTCAATGTTTGTGGGAATGAAAATGATATTTTCTCATCTCCCACATTCAAGGTCAATCTTCCTTTCTTCATATCAATCACAACACCCGCGGTGTTCAAAAATGGTCTTCCCAAGATTAGGGGCACCGTAGTATCTTCTTCCATTTCCATGACCACAAAATCACATGGCACAAATAATCTTCTAACTTGAACCGGCACATCTTCAAGAATTCCCAAAGGTAGCCTAACCGTGCGGTCGGCCAATTGTAAGGACATTCTTGTTGGCTTTAAGTCTCCAACTTTCAAACTCTTAGCAATACAATAGGGCATCAAGCTCACACTTGACCCAAGATCACATAAAGCATCCATAGCCTCCAAGTCTCCAATCTTTACCGGTATTGCATAGCCACCGGGCTCACCAAGCTTTTGAGGAAGCTTGTTTTGAATGATTGCACTCACCTCCTTAGGAAGGGCTATGGTTGCACTCTCTTCAAGCCTACTCTTGTTGGATAAAAGATCCTTCAAAAATTTTGCATATGTAGGCATTTGTGACATAACATGAAGAAAGGGGATATTCACTTGAAGTCCTCTCATGACTTCAAGAAAACTTGAAAACTTTTCATTCAATTTCTTTTCAACAATCCTATGAAGGAATGGAATGGGAGGCTTGTAAACTTTCATGGGGGCTTTTCTACCTTTTCCTCATTTCCCTCATTCTTCTTTTGTGGCTTCTTTCTCTCAACATCAACTATCTCATTTTCAAACTCACCCTCATTTCTCACCACAACTCCCTCATCTCTCTTTTGTGGCTCGTCTTCACTCATAATCGGTCTTTCATAACCTCTCCCCGATCTCAAAGTAATGGCCTTAGCTTGCTCCTTTGGGTTCACAACCGTTGAGCTTAGGAAGTGACCACTAGGATTGGAGGATAAACTTCCAACTTTTTGCGCAATTTGAGCCAATTGATTCTCAATTATCTTGTTGTGTGCTTGAAGTTGTTGGATGTTCGCTTGCATATCTGCATTGCTTCTTCTTTGTTATGTAATGAAGGTCTCAAGTGCGACTTCAAGGCTAGGTTTTTTAGGAGGTAGAGGAGCAGGTTGGTTATATTGTTGCCTTTGTTGGTTTTGGTCCCTTTGTTTAGGGTGACGGTAAGGAGCTTTTTGGTTTTGTAATTGAGATTGGTTGTATTGGTTTTGAGGGGGGCCTTGGTTTTGTTGTTTTCAACCCGTGTTTTGTTGGGGTTTCCAACCTGATTGTAAGGTTAAGAGTATTGATCGTTTCTTTGCCCAAGAAGGACAGGTGATCATTTCCTCCACAAGTTTCACAAGACATGACTTGTTGTGAAGAAGAGCTTAGAGATGTAAGGGTGGCTTGATCTAGCTTATAAGCTTGCATGTCAAACTTTGATGCAATAAGGTCTATTGCACTAAGGTCGTGGATTCTTCCCTTCTTTGCTTGAGGTTGCCGTCTATCACCTCCGTATGCATAGTGCTGTGTCACTTCTTCAATCATCTTGTATGCATCATTCACCGATAGCTTTTCAAGGCTACCACCGGCTCCGTTATCAAGGTTGGCCCTTGAAGTAGGAGTAAGACCATCATAAAAGCTTTGAACAATGATCCATGAAGTAAAACCATGGTGTCGGCATTTTCTAGTGTAGTCCTTGAAACGCTCCCAAGCTTCACTTAAGGTTTCATCAATCTCTTGGTTGAAATTGGTGATTTTCCTTCTTAGTTCGGCGGTCTTTTCGTGTGGACAATACTTTCCAAGGAAAGCTCTAGTGACTTCATCCCATGTGGTCAATGATCCCTCTTCTACCGTTCTCAACCAATGTTTTGCTTTGTCACAGAGGGAGAAGTGAAACATGTGCATACTGATGAACTCTTCTGTAATGTTGTTTTGCTTGATGGTTGTGCACAATTCGAGGAAGTTGTCCAAATGACAAAAGGACACTCATTAGAACTCCCACCAAATTGATCACTTTGTATCATACGGATGAGTTGAGAAGAAAGCTCAAAATTATTTGCATTCGTAGTTGGGAGACGTATGCCACTCCGAAGTGTGAAGGCATTGGGGTGGTCATAATCTCGTAACAATGGTGGAGGAGGATTGTTATCACCCATGTTATCTTCTTCGTTGGTTGCAAAGATTTCCTCCGGATCGGAATCCGAATATATAATAGAGAACTCGGGTGTGCCTTGCAAAAGCCTCCTCACGTTTCTCAAAGTCTTATTTAACTCTGGATCAACGGGAATAAGCGGTGATTGCTTACTCTTCCGTGTCATGCAAGGTCAAACAAAGCTAAGAAAAACGTTAGCAATGACAAATCACAAGTTGAAAACACAAATATACAAAAATAAATAAGAAAAATTATGATACAAATACACACACTTAGACTCATTCAACAATAATACATTCAATGTGACTTTGCCTCCCCGGCAACGGCGCCAAAATTTGATAGGCCGTCATCGAGCCTGCCAAATATAAAGTCCTATCTTGGTCTCACTAACTAATAGCAAGGGTAAGAAAGGGTCGAACCTAAGAGAGGCATTAAATCAACCACCGAGATACTACCGTTTAAACAAGCTAAATGAAGTCGAAATTGGTTTGGTTTTATGTAGCATGTACTAATTTAAAAAAACTAATACTAAGGGATGATTAACAATAATTAGATAATTCTAGGGCTCGGGATATACCACTCAAATTCATCACAAATCACAAATGGCATGTAGCAAACAATTGTAAATTAAGGGGATAATATAGGGGAAATCATCTCAAGCACCCAACTACTCTCTCAAGCTAGAGGGATTACTTGAATCATGAATACAACCTACTCTCGTGGTTACAAAGCATAAAACAAGTGTTAAAGCATAATCACGATGACAAAAATATTCCCTTGACTGGAAATTCCTATTCTCATGGCATTTCAAGTTAATTAAGCATAAGGGAGCTAACTCAATTTCATCTCTCGATCGTTCGTTGAGAAATCTTAGATAATAGTTCTAACAATGGCCATATACAAGAACTAAGAAATTAAACCACTTAAGCTCAACTAATTAACACCCAACAATTAACAAATTAACACATGCAATAATTAATTAGTGACTACATTGAGGGTTTTACCCAAACCCTAGAAAATTAGACTACTCACAATCCATGGAGATTAAAGCAATTAGGGGTTTCAAGTAACTCATGAACAAGAATTAACTAAAGATTAAGCTAAATAACAATCTAATCATACAAGAATTAAGCAAGAAAATTAACAATCAAAGCAATTAAAATGGAAGAGAAGAGTGAGAAAAAATATTACTAGAAGCTTGAACTTGAAAATCAATGGTGGAACTTGTCTTCTACAATGATTAAGAATGCAATTTCCAATCTAATAATTATAATCTAACTAATGATTTGAGAATATGTGTGTTTCTACAATTGCAAACTAAGAGGAAGCACTAAAAACTTGGATGCCATACAAATGAGCTCAAGGGGTTATTTATAAAGACCCCCAAATAAAAAGGACGGAGAAAACAAGAGTCGGGCACGACAACAGGTCAGCACGAACGTGCTGAGGTTGGCACAGACGTGCAACCATACCTGCATGGACGTGCCAAGGTAGGCACGGACGTGCACCTTTGAAAGCAGGGAGGCAGAATGTACTGTTTTGGATAGGGCATCCTACACGGACATGCCAAATATGGCACGGACGTGCATGCCTTGTTCAGTAGATCAATTTTGAAACTGATTTGGGCTAAGCAAACTGCACGGACGTGCTGAATATCCTGCACGGATGTGCTAAACTCTGCATGGACGTGCAGGCTTTGAAAGCAGTAGGCAGTAGATTTTTGTCGTGCTGGGGCACTCCTGCACGGACGTGCCATACTTTGCACGTCCGTGCAGACTCTCTAAGGCCTTTATCTTCACTTTTCTTCGGTTTTGCTCCATTGTTTCAGCTTCCAACCTTGGTTTATCATCCAAATGCCTCAAATGTTCGTCTTTGAACCTAAAACTCAACAAAAACACTAACAACCCGTGAAGCAAGGGATACACAAAAGTTGAACAAAAATAGAGTAAAAGTGAACCAAAATGCCAATATACCAAGTAAACAAGGTTCGAAATCACTCTAAAATCGTATCAAATAACAAGTTATCATGAGGCTTGGGAAAGGTTCATGGATCTACAAAGAGAATGCCCCCACCACAATCTGGCACAATGGCAGTTGATCCAAGCCTTTTACAATGGGATCGGAAATTCTTCTAGAATAATATTGGATTATGCAGCTAGTGGGAGGTTTATGAACCTTAATGTTGATGATGCAGGTTAATTTATTGAAGATATGGCAATACATAACTCCCAATATGGAAATCCTAGAGGCTTTGCTAACAAGGGGAAATATAGTGTCGACCTTGTATCCTTTTTACAAGCTCAATTAACCTCTATTTGCCAGAAATTAGATAATCTTAAATGATTACCTTTAATGATTCATTTCTTTTCAAATATAACATTATCCATAAACTAAATTATTTTACTACAAACCTTTTGACACCCTGGCCCCTAAACTATAAATTGTTCCTCTAAAAATCACATTATTTCTTCTTAATGTATCATGCTGATATTTGTTTTGATGGAAAACAATTTTCATTTATACAATGTTCATGGAATTACTTTTGTACAAGAAAAATGGGAGAGAATTTAATACTTTTCTTTTAAACTTATTTTCAATTCAATTTAGTTCAATGAACTGGGGGAGGGGAGAAATGTAGCTTATCAAAATAGGCGAAGAAGGTAGAGAGAACAAAGATGTTAGGAATATGAAGAAATATGGGACGCTAACACAATGGCTTCTCACTTGCCTATTTTCTTCATTTCTCAACTTATAAACTTATTCATTCTCAAACCATCTCATAATTACATATTTATAAGTGATTGTGAGTTGGAATTACATAAAAGAAGCAAAGTTCTAAGTTTTTGGGCCCATTTCATCAAAATAAAGCCATTTTTAGCCAAAATAGCTTCTCACTTGCCTATTTTCTTCATTTCTCAACTTATAAACTTATTCATTCTCAAATCATCTCATAATTACATATTTATAAGTGATTTTGAGTTGAAATTATATAAAATAAGCAAAGTTCTAAGTTTTTGGCCCCATTTCATAAAAAAAAAAGCCATTTTGACCCAAATTGTCTTCTTACATGCCTCTTTTCTCATTTCTTAACTTATAAACTTATTATTTCTAAAACCATCTCATAATTACATATTTATAAGTGATTGTGACTTTAAATGACATAAAAAAAGCTAAGTTCTAAGTTTTGGGTCCATTTCATCAAAATAAAGCCATTTTGAGCTGAAATGGCTTCTCAGTTGCCTATTTTCTTCATTTCTCAACTTATAAACTTATTCTTTCTCAAACCATCTCATAGTTACATATTTATAAGTGATTTTGAGTTGAAATTACATAAAAGAAGCTAATTTTTAAGTTTATGGGTCCATTTCATCAAAATAAAACCATTTTAAGCCAAAATAACTTATAATATGCCTATTTTGTTCATTTGTCAACTTATAAACTTATTCTTTCTCAAACTATTTCAGATTTTGAATGGAAGCAAAACTTCAAAGAGAAAGAGGGTGGAGATGCCTAAAAGCATTGATCAACCTAAGAAGAAGCTAAGTGAACAAAGGTTCAAGAGTGAACAAGCGTCGAAGTTGCACAAAGGTTCACCCATGCAACCTACTCCACTACTTAAAGACATTGTTCTTCAATCGCTCTCTGCTTACATCACCTTTCTTCACAATCGTGCTTGTCATTTGGTCGATCCCATGAAAGTTGCACTTCCAAAGGCAATGTTCCACTATGATGAGGATGCAATCGCATGGATCAACAAAGAAGATGTGAAGGAATTTCTACGTGGTGCAAAGCTTAATATTTCCCTCATTTAAACATTCATGAGGTACTTCAATTCCCACATAATCTACACTTTTTTGAAGTTATTCAATGTTCATGCATGCAAAGCACTACAGGAGCACTTCACTGAAACTGATTCTCCTTGTAAAGTTGGGTGGTTACGCCCCGAGTAGTTACCCACTACTAGAATCATAGGCAACCCCCATGACGTGTTGTACTATGTTGAGCAGAGTATCAGGGAATCAGCGCATGCGGAAGACAAGTTCATATTCGCCCTATGTTATAAAGAGTAAGTCTAACCATGTCAAATTCAATCGATTTGGCCTCATTATATGTTGAATCCTAAATATTAATTTTCTTGTCTATTGTGAACTTATGTAGGGAGCATTGGAGCCTCGTGGTGATTTGTAATTCCAATAACACAATTTATCACCTTGATTTAGCTCGATCATTGGAGAAGTGGCTTGTAAAGTCTATATTGCAAAAGTAAATATATATAGCTACATAGTTATGATTATTTCTAATAATAACTAATTTAGTAGTCAAACGACTAATCAAATTTCAATGTACTTTATTTACTACAGTGTTATGAAGAAGCTACATTGTCGTGCTCCACAGGGTCCAACATGGAAGTCACCGTTGGTAATTTACATGATATTATGATTATCTTCAAAATCTATGTTAGTAAATATTTGCTAATTTCCTTTGCATGTTTCAACTGATGTGATTTGTTTGTCATATGCTAGTTCACACAACAAGAAAATGGACTTGATAGTGCTTTGTATGTGATGAGATTCATGCTTGACATAGTGACTCATTATACGGACAGATAACAGCTTGATGAGGTAAGTCCTAAAACTTAATGAAATGCTATATTGATGTAGTTTCTAGCCTTAGACACCTAATATTACCCAACACTAACATGTTATGAGAAATAAAAAGGTCATTTGACAAGAAAGGTATAAAATGG